TTGCATACAGAAAAGCAAAGGCAGCATTTGAATGTATGCCTAGAATTTAAATGCATGCTATTTGCGCCACACCACCCTCTTTGTAACTTTGAAACATACAAGTGCATTTTTCCTTTACATTAATAAAGCCCTACTAGAGACATTAATTTAGTCTTTGTCAATTTCAAAACTTCTAGGCATTCTGGCTACAACTCCTAGCATTCCTTATTGTTGGTTATGGTGGTTGGGGATGATGGAAGTTGACGTACAAAACATCTGGAGGGCACAACATTGGGGAAGGTTGAACCAACTCTATATAGTCTGTTCCACTTGGTTCTGTGAGTCAGGAGGACACATCAGTTTGTTACTAGAATGTCAGCAGCAACTTTTCCAATGTTAGATTCTGTTCTGCAACCAGTACTATTTAGCACTCCCTAAAGACCATGAAGCACTAAAATGGTCAGATTCAGCATGGAAACAAGCTGAATGTTGCCCTTTCACATCTCTACAGTGCTAAATGCATAGTCAGAAGTGTGGCTTCTAGATCAAGAGAGCTATTACTGCCACTCTATACTAGTCTGGTGCACCTACAACTGGAATACTGTGTTCAGTTCTGGGTTCCACATTACAGGAAGGATATAGCCAGGTTGGAATTGGTGCAGCGTAAGGCCACAAGGATGGTGGCTGGATTGCAGGGGAAGCCATATGAGGTGAGGCTGAGGGAACTGGGTCTTTTCAGCCTGGAGAAGAGACTTCAAGGGGATTTGCTGGCAACATATAGGTACATGACGGGATGTCATGTGGAGATGGGTCGAGGCCTGTTTTCCCCTGTGGTGGAGGACAGAATGCCTTCCAATGGAGCAAAGCTCAGTGAACCAAGGTTCAGTTTGGATGCCAGGAAGTACTTCCAGACAGTTAGGACCCCAAGGGTATGGAATGGGCTTCAGCAGGAGGTGGTTGAAGCCCCATCTTTGAGGGTGTTTAAGGATAGGCTGGACATGCATATGGTAGGCATAGCATGAGCGAAGCCGGATGGAGCTGGGGGTCTGACTAGATGGTCCAGTAGGTCCCTTCTGACTAACTCTGTTTCTGTATTTCAAAAAGTTATTTTCTTTATCATCACTAAATTCAGACTCACATGCCACCCCAGGTGCTGCATGTGACCCACATGCTGGCCACCCTGGTGTATACCAAGGATCTTACCATTCCACAATTGCCAGTTTTCTGCGATCACTTTAAAAATGCCCCATGATCACACCTGATAACCAACAGTATCAAAGGCCATAAAAAGAGGAATAAAGTCAATGAGGAGCAACCTTCTCTACCAAATCCTTAACCTGAAGCCACAGACTTAAGTCTGAAAAGCACACTCAGTTTATAAGTCAAACTTTAAGTAGAGAAAGGTGACGGTGTGCAAGTGTGCCTTAAGCTGCAGGAAGATCAATCATTCAATGCACCGTGACAGTCTATCATGGGTTAATTTACCCACATGATGCACAGAATCAGGACACGGGGTCTGGCAAGTTCTGGCCAGCAGTATGAATTTGTAAATTTGTTAAATTTTTTAGCTGAAAACCCAAAAACTAAATTTAAGGCTACCCAACACTTCATTTAGGGTTTAATTTTTTTGTTCAGGATTGCTGGCTTACTTAACAATGAATAAAAGCCATTCTCAGACTATTTATCAATGCAGGAAGAAACAGCTCTTGTTCCTTTTATAAGAGCTTCAATTCATTATACAATTTCTGGAAAGAAATACACTTGCATAAGAAATACTAGGATAGTGTCCAACCACAGGAAGCTTTAGATCCTACAGAGGAATCCCTCTGGCAGAATGAAGTGGTACTATTTTTAATGTCCCGTTTCTCTATGTCCCCCAAAACCTGCTCTGAATATTTGGATCCCTTCTAGAAGAGGAGGCACTACAGGCTGCAGAAGGAAGGGTTAACCATTGAAGACCATCTCCCTTACTTTTCAGCAGTGGGAACGTTCAAAGTGGAACTCTGCTAAGGATAAGTTTCTGCTGGTGCAAAAGAAGCTGGATCTAATCGGATAAATAAAAAAATTGCCAAATGTCCCAAAATATATATAATCAGAACTCATTTGATCTTGAACCATCTGTCATTCTACAACACAGATGGCACAGAGAGGCACAGAATAAAATATTGCATAATAATTTATCTTACTTCAAAGAGCTCAAAAATTTTCTTAATTCTGCAATTTACCTTGAACAGTCTCAAAAAGATCATGAACATCTGCTTGTTTAACATTAGGATGCTCCATATTTATTGCATAAATATCACTCATAAATAATGGTTTTGGAAAGGTGAACAATTTCATGCAACCACAAAAGCTGTGACACTGACTTTTTCTGTAGAGTTGGATAAATCAATTTCCTTGATCACTGCAAAGCTTTTAAATACTCTAACAAAACCAGCATTTGAACATTAATTCATACATACATAGTGATCATATATGTTCCTTCAACTGCTAGGGTTAGATGTGTACCCTGTTTTGGAAACTTTGTACTAGTTAACCTAAATATATATAACAAGTATTACTGGTTTTAAGTCTACATCCTAATACAGTGTATCCCTGCACTCAAGACCCTTATGCAAATCAAATAAGCAGCAATTTTACAGCTTCAACAATATGCATATTTATGTGGGTGTAAATTCTATTATACAAACTGGGACTCATTTTTGTTGTCATAGAATCAGGTTACAAGTCAATTTATAATGAGAAATGTTCTTATGTGTGAAAAGCTTGCTATTGCCTGTGCACAGAGATCCCAATACAAGTTTTGCTTTTATCCATGCTAGCATACGGATCATACCAATAGCAGTATGTGAGCAGAAAACCCATATGTAATAACAAATACATGGTTGAGGCCCCATCAGTGAGGGTGTTCAAAGACAGGCTGGACATGCACATGGTGGGCATCTCATGAGCGAAGTCAGCTGGTGCCAGGGGTCAGACTAGATGGCCCAGGAGACCCCTTCTGACTCACTCTGTTTCTATGTTTCTAAATACCTAGATTGGAGAAAGCCATTAAAGAACATGTTGCCAGAAGGCCACATTTTGGCAACAATATTGAGGAAAGGACACTGAAGGCATAATTTTATGCATGCACATTTAGCTAGAGAAAAGTCCTAGAGCTTCCAGCATCCCTTCAATGATAGTTGGATTTGTAGGACTTTTGCTGCCTAAACCTGCATAGGATTTCTTCCTAAATCACCAACAATATTAAGCAGGCAGAGAGATACTTAAAAGGATGCTATGTGAAAGATAGCCAGCTTAGTGTTTGCAGTGTTTGCATTTTTATAAGACGGCCCCAACAAAGTCATCTCATTCTTCAAATGCATTAGGCTCAAATAAACAGCTCTGACACCTCCAAGCACTTGTTCTGTTCTTGCTTTCCATCATACCATGTGCCCCACTTCTGGTGTTCGCTTGCTCAAAACTAAAAGCAATAGCTCCCCTGACCCCAATTTACCAGTCAAGATTAGAAACAGACCATGCAGACCATGGGGTAGAATAGTTAAATGAGGATTTTAAAATTCTATTTCTGGGGCCCAAAATACATTCCTTTAAAAATGGAGGACTTTTAACAGAACAATCCTAACCTTCTAATCTGCTGGATACAGAACATTAAGATAGTGTAGTGGTGCCTCTCTTCTGGCATGGGGCAGTGCCTGCCCCAAAAGGTAATTTCACTGATTTAAATGGAAATGGGAAAAACTGATAAAGCTTTGGATGCTGTGGAGATCATAAGACGTGTGATGCTTTAGAATCCATATACACAAATACTGTGATGACATCATTTACTTTTCCTGTACTGGCAGTGCAGTTAGTACCACCTTCAGAATAAAAAAAATAGCACTTTGGCGGCAGCGGCAGGTTGGGCTATCCCAATAAGGTTGTTCTAACTCACCCTTCCCCACACCATGACCTTCCAGACGGCTGGATCCACAACTCCCCACATCTCTGGGACAGGTGGGAGTTGTAGGTCAACACCTCGGGTGGGGGGAGGGGATGGGGCAGGAGGGACTGGTATAACTAATAAAACGGGACTTCTTCTAACTAATAGGCTTATCGGAGTTTCTGTTTGCGCCTTTCTTTCTTTTTGAAGGATGAGGAGCTGGTTAATAAGTTCAAGTTATCTATCCATTTACTTCCGAACCGTTACTTCATTCTTAAAAGGCATCGATGCGTTGCAAAGAACAAGACACCCACGCTCCGACGCAAGCCTCGCTTGCCCGCGCACCCCTGCTGATGAAGCCCGTGTGTACCAACCAACCCATTCTCAGGCTCAGGCCCCGTAACTCAGTCCAAAAAGCATCCGTCCGACCCCTCTTCAGGGAAGAGACTCTCGGGGCGACCGTCTCACAACTGCAGCTGCCTTCCCCGCGCAGCCGCTCTCCGCACAGCGCGCGTGTTTACGCGGGAGTAAGTTGCACTGATCTGAGTGCGTGTGGGGGCGATGTTCTCTCCGCGCGGAAGCGCGCCAAAGATCGCTGCCCGAACATTTTTCGCAGGCTGCTCTCCTTTCCGCAGCACTTCCAAAGTCATTGGCTTGTTTCGCGAGCCCGCCCCTATGTTCCGTCCCCGAACGTTCGCGGGCCTCCTCGGCCGCCCATTGGGTAGCTTCCGCGTCAGTCATCGGGTGTCGTATAGTGTGAGTTCGGAGCGGGGTGGGGGGAGAGAAGAGGCAGCCGTAGAGCGGACGAGGAGGAGGAGACGGTGGTGGTAGGGGAGGAAGGGGCCGGGCTGTGCCGAGCTCCGTGCTCGCCCGAGGGTGGGGGGGCGAGGCGGCTACTTACCTGCCTGCTTGGCCGCGCCCTACGCCACCGCTGGGCGAGAGTCCCCCTGCACAGTGCCCCCTTGTTACCAAGGGCTGCCCCTTTGCTCCCGACTCTTCACCCGTCGAAAGCCAGCGCTCCCTTTTCTGCCTTCCGCCCGACAGCCCGCGCTCCGCAGCCATTTTCGTGGCCACCTTGGCTACCGAAGGGCTGACTCACCTCAGTGCTGCGGGGCCCTGGCTCGTCTTCTGGGGGCAGCCCTGCTCTTCCCGCGGCGACCCCCTTCGCCGCCCCTTCGCCCTCCTCCTCCTCGGGCGCCGGCCCGGCCAGCCCAGCCCGGCTCGCTAGTCCCAGGCGAGGACGAGGGCCGGGCCGGGCTCGGTGGCAGAGGAGGAGGCGGCAGCTGCGGCGGCTCCCTCCCTCCCGGCCGTGACCACCATCTTATTAGCACAGGAAATGACATGGCGAACGGAAGAGAGGGGCGTTCGGGGGCCGAGCCCGGGGACCCCCCGAACCGGGAGGAGGAGGGGGAAGCGACGCGGGCTTGGCTGGCTGGCTGGCTGGCTGGCTGGCTTGCCTCAAGGCCCGGCCTCAGCGGTAGGGGAAATCTTCGTGCTCCCTACATGCCAGTGCCCTGCCCTAGCCCCTCCGCTTTCCCTCTCCTTCGCTCGCCAGCCCGCCTGGCTGCCAGACTTCCCCGCTTTCTCCCCGCCATGCTCCTCGCATTGCTGCCGCTGCAGCAGGAACCTGGAAACGGGAACGTAGACCGCGAATGCTGGAGAAGCAACAACCTGTGCCCGGCGCTCGCATTTGTTTTTTGTTCTCTCCTGCAATTGCCTCGCTGCCCTTCCTGCAAAGCAATAAAAGTTGGTGGCAGAGTTATCTTTCTGTTGCCGCGTTGCGCCCTTTAGTCCTAGGGATGTTTACTGAGAAGCAAGTCTTTTCTGAAATACTGTATACTATAGCGGTCTTACTTGTTTTGTTCCTATTCGGGTTTTATTTCCCACACCATCCTTGCACACTCAAGGTCTTGGAATGTGCGTTTATTGCTGGCCCTTTCCCTATCCCGTTTTGATTTCGTTCTTGCGATTACCCTTCTGAATAGCTGAATAATAAGGCAAGGAAGCTCAGCCAATGTGATGTGAGACGACTAAAAATTGAAAACTCCGTACTAAAGATGGTCATTCTGAAATAACTCCCATTAATCTCTGAACTTGATTAACAAGTAACATTGCAATCCTATAGACACATCCTGAGATCAGGATATGTGATGGGGCTACAGAGCAGTGGTGAAGCACTTTCTTTGCATGCATAAGATTCCCAGGTTCGATTCCTGGCATCTTAAGGTATGTCTGGGAAACCTGAAATCTTGGGGAGGTGATGCCAGTCTCTAAAAGATCCTGTGTTAAGGTGATATAAGTTTTCACTAGATGGATTACAACCGTTTTTAAAGCTTTTTGCTTGTTTGAAGTGAAGTATCTGTAAGAGTTTACTTTGAAATAACTGTTCTTATGTTTTAACTATGTTCAGGAAAAAGCCTTTTTTATATATGTTTAGTGTGGGAGTATCCAGTCTTTCTTGGGCTGTTCGACATATTTGGAATTTTAGGGAAGTATCATGGATGTTATCACAAAATGACTGCTGTTTGTGTAGGTGGTAACCAAAGACATTTTACTGGCAAACTGGAGGAGCTAAAAAGCAGATTAGTTGCCCATGAATCTGGATACAAGGTAGGAGAGAGTCTGCGCCTCAAAACATGGAACTTCACCTTTGAACCTAGAATTCTCTATACCAATAGCATCAATTTTTCCGACAGCAAACTAGAGACAAACAAATCAAATAAATGAATCTGAATGGGTGGCAGAGGTGAGGACTAGCCCAAACACAAAACCCACTCCTTGGAACCCACAGTCTCTTGGGGTCAAGCACCCAAATATATTTGCAATCACCGCTACACCTGTCTCTCTTTCAACCCCCAACACACACAGAGTCTCTCAGTATTGTACCTCTTCTCTCACACTTGCTGTCAGTCAGGTTGCTGGGCTGGTGTTCCATTTCCACACCCTTCCCACTTCCTCCCTTGCATCAGGTCACACCAGCCCTGATCTCCCTTGTCCCAGAATGTCCAGTCACTCCCCTGGTTGATGCACTGCGATCCCCAAGCTTTCTCCCTTTCATGGCAGCACTGGCACTGCTAGGTAGCGAAAAGGATTGGGTCCCAGGACCATAGGATCACCAGTCTGCATATGCTAACTATGCAAAGGTATAAGTAATTACAAGGAATTAAATGCTGCAGAAGGCAACGCTTGTGAATTAATTTCTCATCCAAATCTCAAATGGAAGACATTGTTCAATTAATCTGCACTGTGTCTCAGAATATCCCAAACCTTATATATATATATTTATACATACATACATACATATATATATATAAAGTTGATTGCTATGTAGAGGATTTTCCCCCCATTTTGGTGAGCTGGTGTGTGATACTCCCCTTGAATATCACCCCCTGCATTCTAATTAGGCATAGGAAAAAGCTTTTTCTGTTGGCACCAATGGATACTCAGAGCTCTAGCAACAGATCTAGAACCTTGAGAAATATAATCAAGATGGAGTCCCCATGAGCCCGGGTGTATTAATTCCCTTGCCAGGTAGTATCAGTGGAGTCGCTTCTTTCTCCCTCACCTCCAGGGAACTGAGAGCTCTTCAAAGCGAATTACTGCCTCACAGCTATCCACCATCTTCCTAAGAATGTCTGCATGGAATAAAGATGACAGAAAGCTGCAGACCAACTCTGGAGCACCCTCAGCCACCTAGAGAGAAACTCTCAGATACCAGCAGACCATGTTGCCTACCCTGGGCTTAATATTCTTGCATAGCTACTATTTATCATTTTAAAACAAGAAGAAATGCTGTGTGGGAAAGAGGCAACCCATGTTCTCCAGGGCAAGAATTATTACTAATAGTCAAGAGGGTAAATTGATTCTATATAATAGCAGTGATATATTTCATTGGATTTGCAGCAGTACAGAGGAAAGAACAGCCACTGGGATGTGTTTCTGAAAATAAAATAAATGGACCTGAATTTTCAAACAGTGCTGTGTCAAACATTTCCCTCACATTTCTTTCAACCATTCTCATTCAATTTGGTAGAAATGAAATTACTCTTATAAAGAAATACTAAGGAAAAAATAAACTTCAAGGAAATGCTCTTGGGTTGGGTATGGGGTTCTTTTAGTTACTTTATTAAATGGCTGAGGACCACATGTGAATGCCCTGTCTTTCTTTGTACACTAATTTCTCAGACAGCCTGTAGCCTCCACAATTTCCTGCATTTAAATTAAAATCCAGGGGAAGACCTCATGAAGTAATTCCTCCCTAATTAAGCTCAGGAAGCTGTAGAACAATGCGGAGGTGTGCAATGGACAAAAAGAAAAAAATGTTGCACTGAGTAGGTAAGCTCAACAATAACATGCACGCACAATAATAATAATAATACTTCCAAATAAATTATACAGGGCTTTTAGAATGATCAGGGGGAAATGGAAGCTTTTTTCATGGGAGGAGAAGTTTACACAAAATGTGCGACGGATTTTGGTATATTCTAGCTCCTCTTCCCTGGTGCTGAACAAAACACTGCCCCCCACACACTTGTGGAGTTTCCAAAGAAGTAGTTTAGTGTAAATATCTGCATCAAAGGCAAGATGAGTCCACAGTCATCCCCAACAATTTTATATTTAACAATATAAAATTCTGCAGAAGGTGAACCATGAAGAACGACAGAATACTTTTTTCTCAGAAACACTTCAAGTTTTTTTTGCTCTCCCCCCACCAACAACATCAGGAATAGTAGGGCATTTTGCATTGTCCCCCAAATTTTCCCCACAGTTTTTGTGGGGCCACCTTCTCTTTCCACAGTGTCCCAGAATGAGACAATGTACAGAGGAAAATGAGGAGGAAGCCAGGCTACTGTTGCCACTTGCGGCAATAGTGCTAAAAGCGAAAAACTCTGAGGTAAGGCAGGGCACATCTTCTACCAAGAGTGACTCTTACCTGGGAAAGTTTTGGCAAGAATGTGAGCATCACCTGTCTGAATCAGATGAAGATGCAGCATATAAAGGTATGTTTCTTCTATGATTTTCTGATCCAGGAGGCTACCCATCATGACTATGGATTAGTATGCAACTGGAATTCATCCTCTGCATATTTATTGGGAATTAAAATCCTAGATTTAGGGGGAAGCTCTTTGCTTGGTGATTCAGCATCACAGGCATGTTTGGTGGGAATATAAGAGCCTTTTTGTGGCTCTTCCCTTGCTTTCACACACTGTGCCAAGGAAGGCTAGTTTGGTCCCTTTCCACCAGCAAGAAAATACGTTTTTATTTGGCCTTTGGCATATAAGCTCGTCTGTTGCCAAAGAGTGTTTAAACTGATTGCTGTTGCTAATGTCTTTTAAATTGTGGTTTTTTATTTTTATGCTATGTTTTAATTAAGATTTTGCTTTTAATCTAGATTTTATTGTTAGCCATCTTGGATGCCCTTTTGGGGCAGGAGCTGGAAAGTGAGAGTTAAAATAAATAAATTTGGTATTTCTGGCACTTCCGAAAAAGCTTAGCATTTCAGGTAAAAGACTGTTAAACATCTTTCTCTCATAGATGACTTTACTATGGAATGTGCTCCCCAGAGAGGTCCGCCTGGTGCCGTCGTTATGTTTTTCGGCGCCAGGCCACGACCTTTTTATTTAAATAGCATTTTAATTGTTAGCTTATTTATTGATTTTATATCTTTGGCCAGGGCATTTCCAATTATATTGTTTTTATATGATTATATGTATTTATTGTTGTAAGCCGCCCCGAGACTTCAGCGAATGGGGCGGCATAGAAGTTTACTTACTAAATAAATAAATACTAAAATGAAATTCACACTGTATTCCAAAGTGCAGCACTACACTTGCATTGAATCTCCGTTGCCTTTTCGTTGCCCGTTTACCCAGGTCGGTTAGATCCTTTAGGTCTTCTTCACAGTTTGCCTGGGATTTCATTGTCCTGTATGTTGTATTTCTTGAGCATTCAGATGTTAAACCCTGTCTTGCTTGAATAGCCCTAGAATAGCATTTGTATGCCCAGTTCCAGAACACTCTGTCTTACTGATTGTGTTTGCAGCTTTGGAGACTGTTTCTGACAGAGGGTTCTCTCTCAGCCCTTTCAAAAGGAACCGACAGGGAGCTAGATGTTTATCACCCAAAATCCTTTAGACTATAGGAACAGCTGTTCTGGATCAGCCCAAGGGCATTCTGACCAGGCTGGTCCCACACAGTGGC